GATACTGGACAGAGTGGCCACAAAACGTGACCCAGCACTGAAAAATGGAACCTTGCAATAGAAGTCATCATCTCAGCAAATTTATCAGGAAAAAGACTGAAGAGGTGACCTGACTACTGAGTCAATGCTGGGGTTTCAACTTTGCAGATAAGGTCATAAGGAGTTCTTTTGGACAAGGGCCGCACGTGTTACAGATCAATATGAAGAATCTCTCTCTAACATGACTGGATTAAATCTAGAGATGGATCGGTTCAGATTGAACGTTAGGAAGAAGTTCTTCACCATGAGGGTGGTGAGACACTGGAACAGGTTGCCCAAAGAGGTGGTGGAAGGCCCATCTCTGGAAGTTTTTAAGGCCAGGCTGGATGGGGCTCTGAGCAGCCTGATCTACTGGGGATGTTGCTGCCCATGGCAGGGGTGGTTGGAACTAGATGATCTTTGAGGTCTCTTCCAACCCTGACAATTCTATGAGTCTATGATTCTGTGATTCTTGATTCTAAGATTGACTGCTGAGTCTTCTTCTTACACCTGGCATCACACAGATAGCCGCTCTGTGACCAGAGAGGAATTCTCACATGAAACAGAGGAGAAGGCATTTGCAAAGTGAGTGTAAAGATGAGTTCATTAACACGTCTGAAGCATTCAAACGTAATTCTGTAAGAGAGAAAGCCTCATAAGAAAATTATTATGCTTACAGAGCAAGTCTAGAACACCTTTCAGTATAAAGGACCTGGGACTGAATAATGAATAAAGGGGGAAAAGAGAGGAGAACAGGACTTTAGCACATGTTCATTAAGCAAAGGGAAGAATACCCAATCATACAAAGGCCAACAGTAAACGTACAGTGTTGGTGAACTGATATTAGGCACACAGTCTTCATATTGGAATTTATTAACTTTCATTAGAAGTTGTAAAATTAATTTTAAATTGTCCTTGTTTTAAAAATAGTTTTTAGATATATAGCATTCTAAAGATAGGAATACATACACCAATATGTGCTTACAACAATAGTTACAGTTTCATAAATAAATGTGCACATAAACACTTCCAAACATATCCTGTGTGATCCAGCCCCAGGACATGTGGTGGATGGTTCTCCAGCTGCTGACGTTTGAGCAGGCAGCACCAGTGAATAAAGGAAGAACACACCTCAAAGCTAACTCCATGGCTGATGATGCCACCATCAAACTTAGCCAAGGACGGAAAGGCAGGCCAAAATTTGCCTTCTTTCCACAATCTTCAACCCTAAGAGAGAGTTTTACCTTGTTGCTCTGCAGCCATCATTCAACATCGGGTTGCCCCATTTCTACAAAGAAGGAAGCTTCATTCTCACTGGAGTTGATGTGACAGCCATGAAAGGATTAATAGGCACAAGGCTGTAACTGCACCAGTGCTGTGCCCATCAGTCAAATTTAATAAAGGTGAGTCTAAGCATATGGCAGCTGCATCCTGGCAGGTTCTGGAGAACACTGACATATATAACTTCTTGTGAAGCTGCTTATGCAGGGATCTCCCTCCGCTTGTTTCTTCTGCAGTCTCAGCAAAATTCAGCTGAAATTTCCCAGTAAAATTATTTTACATTGCCCTAGTATTAAGCACTTTAAACTCTTCAGCAACAGTAGTCTTAAAATACCCTTTGGGATTCAAGAACACCAATGACTTGACCTTTAGAAGACAGACAAGGCTGCTGGCCAGGGACCACTCTTAGTTCCTCTCCTTCAGTGTCCCAACTCACGCCTGCTTCTACACACAGTTACCATACCACGCTTGCCACAGTAATGTCTGGGATCAAGCCTATCCTTTAATCCACTCTAATTTATGCTTCCCAAATATATTTTGGGAACAGGCCTAGTATTTATTATTGCTCCATCTATGTCTTGATTTTCACACAAAAGAAATGTGGGAGTCAGGCCAGAAGGCAGCCATAGGGAGGCATGGTGCTCTCTAAGAGGCTCCTCTGATCTGAATCAGCAGGACACCAGGATCACAGCTCAGGGTGCAAATCACATCACATCATAGTCTGAAGTCAAGCTAAGAGCTTAAAACCTCTAAGTTTTCCTGGGAGCTCCAGGAAACTACTGAGGAACATAAAAGAACGTGACACCTGCAGAGGGAAGATCATTGACAGCAGACATCGTGCCCCAACCCACCTGCCTCCTCCCAAAACAGGCGATTCTGGATTTCTTCCTATTCCCAATACCTTCCTAAAGTTTACCAGAAGGCTGTAGAGCCAGATTTTGCCTCGTGGCACATCGCTGCTTTTAAGTCATTCATTTCTTGATCAACAAGTGTGTAACTACTCAGCATCTCTTGGAAACTTATAATTCACATTTCTAACAAATCTTTAAGATTATGTGGAGCATTACACACATTAATACTTACCTTCAAAAATACTTCCAGTGCAGAGAGCAATCTGATTCAGAAGAGTTTTAGCAGCTCTAGGCTTGAAGAGGAAATTATTAATTAAGGGCCTTGCACTACCCTCAGAACACCTTTATTAGTTTTTATGATTTCTTAAAAATGTTAATGCAAAGGAGGCATGTGGAACTCTTGGGGGCCGGTTAGCCCAGTGGGTTGAGCGCGGTGCTGACAACAATGACAACATTGAGGTCACGGGTTCGATTCCCGCTCGGTCCCCATGTGTTGCCTGGTCTAGTCGAGAGGTGGTGTCCCTGCCCATGACAGGGAGGTTGGACTAGATGATCTCTAAGGTCTCTATGCCATTCTGTGATTCTAAGATATGATTCTATGATTCTCATTAGAGAGTAGCAGAATCTTGCAATACTCCGTAAAACCTCCCATGGTGCACCATAACAGAATACACTGAGAGCCCTTCCTGCAAATTCCTCCCTGTGGATTCCTACTGCAACAAGAAAGACTAATTTAACTTTTCCCAACACACCACCAACGTGGGTTGACCAATCTGTAATTAGAATGGGTGTGTTTTGTGAATGAATTTGTTGTTATAATTAGGTCTAGTTCTAAAGAAAAAATACAGTTGTATTTTCACCAGTGGGTTTTTTCTCTTTCAAAGCCAAGCCTAGAAGAAGCCTGACAAATGCTGAGACAAATTTACTAACCTCAATTCTTCAGTAGTAGTATTTATATGACTAGAGGTCCACTGCAAAAGGCAATGCAGGAAAGAACAGCAAACACAGGAAGGTAGCACAGGAAAGGGAAATAATGGACTTTTTGGTGGAGACATTACATCATTTGCTTTGCTATGTATCTGCATTTCACAGCCAGAATAATATCAGCCAGCTCCAAGATAAGGAACATGTTTATTTAGAGAATAAATCCAGTTCAGATTTCATCATAATGTCAATATTTGCCATATTAGTACTACAGTTCCTCTCGGTTAATACTCAGTAGTTAATAATATGCTGTGTACAAAGGGAAAAGATCTTCCAAATGATCCATGGGAATTGCCAGGTTCAAAATGTGGTTTGCTCAGCTTCTAGAGGGTTCCTTCATTGCTGGGTGCAAGGAGATAGGGATAGGTCTCCAAGAGGCAGAAACCAGTTGACTCCCACATGATAAGGATTTGGTTTGAGGTATTTTTTTCAACATTTTAGTACCAAACCTGACAACCAGGACAAAATACCAGGCTTCTGTATAAAACTGCGGACACCCCAGCCCAGCCATTGCAGCAGATTTCACTGCAGAGACTCCTCCCTGCCCTACGGTGAGATGTGGACCTGTGGGAGGCCAGGCTCTGGTGACCAGCATATTAGGTTTGGGATCTGGCTGCAGCTGCCCGGGGAGTCATTGCTGAAGGAAAACGGGCAGCCCCCAGTGAAGTTGCCACATGGACATTTATGGACGTGTTGGCTCTATTGCAGATGAAAAGTGTGGGTTTGGCCAGCACTGAAATCTTGAACTTCTTGACTAGGTAATTGGCAGAAGGTGGAGAGGGGCTTCCTTAAACGTAATTCTAAGAAATACAAGTTTCTGTAGGTCAGTTGCTACTCTGCTAAGCCCAAAATAAACAGATGACTTCATGGTGGGCTGCCTGCTGTACATTTATTGCAATGAATGCTGTCAAGAGCAGCTGCATGTCTCTCCAAAGGAAGCACGTGTTTCTGCAGTGCACACAGCCATGGACACAAGAAGAAGTCAGCAGTGTCCACTCCCCCTCACCCAGCACACGTGTGGTCTGTGGGTTGGTCCTATTGTTTCTGCTGTCCCTAATATACACATAAATGACTCAGAGAATTCCTAACTCATTATTCAGCAGCAGCTCTCCCCATAACCCTTGACAAGGTGGATTAAGCATGCCTCCTGACACTGCATTTACCATTGCCTGGTGATGACTTCGTGATTGATGACTCACCGATGTGCTCCAAGGGAGTAACCTCCCCTTTGTCAACCCTTGGTTTGCATCTCCATTGTGCCCCAGCCTGGAGCTTGCCATCTGTGCCTCGGGGCGCTCTTCCACTCACTGCATAAACCTGCCCCCTCACGCTAGTTAAAGTGGACCTCACTCATAGCTATGGTGATCAAAGCTATTGCCCACCACGTTACTGACTCTGCCCTTCAGATCTTGGTGTTTTGCAGGAATCGGAAGCTCTGAGCTTGGCTAGCTGGCTTAGACTACCGCTCCCTCATCTATTCTGTCAGATGTGTCATGTGTGGCAATCCCACGCTGTGCAGTGAGCTCAGGACATGCAGAGCAGGTCTCCAGACCACCGTCCTCAGCAATGTACAGAGCAAACAGAACTGTCATAATCCAAAGGAGAACAAAGGCTGATCATTTTCTGCCTGCATTGAACATTTCTTTGCAAAGTTCCATGACTCACCGAGTAGAAAATAATCCAGAGGATTCTGTTTATTGTTTTACAGATGAATTTTCCTTATTTCAAAACTGTCCTTTATTTCCGTAATGTTCCTAGTAATGCAAATGTCATTCAGCTTTATTCAGATAAACCATGTTAAGTGCATAGGTTGGCAGAGAAGTGCTCCCTTCTGCCCTAAAGTTAATTCTCAATTTGTATAATATGCTCTGTGAACAATGTTTTTATTAGCTTTAGAGAATGCACCCCTCCTCTACAAAAAAAAGGATGTTTACTTACAGCACAAGAAATGCCACCAAATAAAATTAAATCTAACATTCAGAACTAGTATGTCTACATATGAACATTCAGACCAAGCTTAAAATTAGTACTATTTAGATCACAGACCACTATTGAAAGCACTGGCAAAGCAACTATAGAAGCAATGATAATTACAATTTAAATAGTTAACAAAGTGAACTGGAAGATTTAATGTGTTTTCTTCTTTTAATATACAGCCCCATTCCCATAATCTCACTGGACCGTGCGGACAGACCAACTGTCACAGCTGTCTATCAGGGCTGAATTAGATGAAGATACACAATACAGGCTTTGTGGTTCAACTGAAGCAGCAGCCTCAAAAGTTTCCATTTCTCATCTGAGGGCACTGTGGGAGCATTGTCTTCCCCCTCTCTGAAAAGAGAATGGAACAATTATGTTACTGAAACTCCTCCGCAGTGGGTCTGAAAGACTGTTTATGTCCAGTCAGGGAGATGGGGAAAACTAAAAGCAGGGATTTCATGAAAGCAAGTGGGGGCAGTTTCAGGGTATATACTTCAGTGACATAATGGTCCTGATTCTTCTCTTTTAGGGTAAAGTCAGTGCTGGGAGATTTACTAGCAATGGAGGAAATGGCAATAAAAATGCAAAGTTAAATGCAGTGGTAAAATTATTAACTTGAAACAAAGCTTTACAATTGGCTTTCTGAATCAATCAGGTAATTGACTCTAATGGAGAGACCATGGCAGTAAACTAGAAATGAAAACATACCAGTTGCAGAGAATTTTTTTACTGTTTAAACATTTTAGAACCCCTGCCAAGTGAAGTGCTGAGTCTGCAGCTCTCACGGGAGTCAGATGGGCTCAGGAGATAGAAAGCACTCACCCAGTTAGCTCCTCCTGATAGCAGTAGTATTCCTACTCATTAGCAGCAGAGATAGATCAATACTTGATTTTGTGCAAACACATATTCATGTGCTTTAGCATAACCTTAGGAAATCAGCTGTTCAGGTTGCTCCAGTGTTCTCAGTTCAGAAATGGCAGGTATGAGAGTGCCAAATCACTTCATTTTGTTGTACTAATAGTCTCGTTTTTTCCTGAGGTTATTTTAGTGCTTATTTAACGACAGCTCAGTACATACACACAAAAATCCCTAAGTGCTCGGGTGCAAATGGTCACCTGCGGCTACAACTCCTTGCAGGAAGAGTCAATACACCACTAAAGAGTTCCCACTTCTTTTCTTAAAGAAGGAGTGTAGAGGCTGTCAGCCATCAGCAGCGCTGTTAAAAAGTCAGTGTCTACACACGAGACAATCTGTGCCACGATTTCCATGTGCTCCCTGGTTACCATCCAGTCATTGTGTCAGGTAGCAGGACCATCTGATGGCCAACTTGAAGAACTTTCTACCAGGTGTCTTCCAAGGGAGGCTGTAAGCCCTTTACAGAGCAGCTGGTTTTAGCCACAGTTACACTCTGTGTAACAGCACAGGTTCCCAGTTTTTCCTGGGGTCTGGTATAAAGGTGTAACATAAAAACCCCATGTAATAATAACAAGTTATTCTCTATCGCTGGAAAAATTCTTGGCATGTTTTTCAGTGTGCTACTAATGTGAAGGTGCAGGGACCACTCCCTGAAATGCAGAGAAAGGTTCTTCTTGCATGGGCAAAGACACTGGATGAGGGAATTGGACTGAAAAATTTGAGCGAGGAAGATCAAAAGAAGACAAATACTTTGTGTTCTTAAGGTTCCATGTAAGGCAAACTAATGCTGTGACACAGTGACACTTTCTCAATCTCAATTAGTGCCAAACTAATTAAGAAAACTGTTTTATACACTGTAGTGAGTAGTATCTCTCTTTTTTCTTGGATAATCCCTAGTGTGATGTAAAGGTGATTGAGTATCTAATTACTCCTTAATTGAATGCACATTTTGTACATTTTTCACTAGTTCAAGCTTAATGCTTTTAGTGCAAAAATCAAAGTCAGTGAAATTAAGTTGAACTGGGATTTGGGCAGCTATTGCATTAATGGATTACTTTTGGCAAGGAGCCTAATTATGAAATGGTCTGAAGATTTCAGTTGTGTTTGTTATAGCAATACTTAACATATTGTTAGAGATAAAATTGATTGCATATATTGGTATTGTTACTCATGTTTACCCTTTACTCTTGTTTAAAAGTATTTCTTCTCCCATGCTAAACTATTAGCAATGTTCCATAATATATGTGGCCAAGTAACACTCAAGTCAGGCTACAGGTTTATGTAGATATGAAGATACCTGTTTCTCTTACTCTTCTGAGTAACTTGAGCTTCTGAGTAATATTTCAGCTACAATTGTACCGATTGGTATATGTATTCTAATCAGAAAATTGCCTAGATTCTTTGCTTGTTCATACGTTGCATTTCTGCCTCCAAAATTTCCTTTGCTTGTATATTAAACAGAGTCCCACTGCTTCTGGTGGAGTCCTCTACAGACCAGGCAACCACCTCCAAAGAAAAGCTTTCGGGATCAGTGCCATAAAGTGTAAATACCTCGGAAATCTGAGAGCTACTATCACAACACCCATAGTTCAAGAAAAAAAAAAAAAGACATATTAACAAGATCAACCAAAATTCAGAAATCATCAACATGTAAAGAGAATCATTGTTTTCAAGAATAGTTACTTCTAATTCCTTCATATAATTATGTACTTAGATTCCTCACTGAGAATAAACTTTCTTGTACAAAACTGGGATAAATACAAGACTGTAACTTTATCCCAGAAACAGGGAGCAACAGCAGGAGGAAAGATAGGTCCTAGCCAGTATATTTTTAAGAACCAAAGGTCCAAATGTCCCCATAGTAATAGGACACATTTAAAAGAGAAGATAAAAGAAAACTTCAGTGAAAAGGATTATTTTTCAAAGCTTTCTAAAAGTGTTGAGAAAGTGCAAATAAACAGGCTATGGAGAAATGAAACAGCACGATCATGATAACATGCCTCGCCATCTGATAGGGAGGAAATAAGATGTCCCACTGGAGCAGCCTTAGATCAAGATCATTACACAAGATCAAAAACTTTGTGCTGCTACTTAAAAAGTTGTCAATCTGCTTTCTGGAGAGTTTTCCACCTCTTTTGTCTTACTATATTCCTTACGAGCATTGTCTCACACAGTGTCTCCATGTTTTTTCCTTGTAGAAGCATCTTGCTTTCTCCTTCTTAGGTTAAACCAAAAAGCTTGAGTTTAAAAAAAATCAATGGGTGGCAAAATCAGTTAACACTGACTACACACTATCGTTATCCTGTAACTTCCTGAAAACAGGACCTGAAAGCATGGTCGGGCATGGATTCAGAGTGCTTCAGAAAAGAGAACTACCTTATGAATCCTCATCTTTCCTGAAACACTTTGACTTCCTTCCATGAAAAGGTCACCATTTATTGAGTGTACATCTAGTCCTGCAGTTATCCAACATCTCGCTAACTAAAGTATACCTTTGTTTCCCTTGAGCTCTGGGGATGCATAAAAATCTTTTAAAAATCACAGTATGTTCTGCTTTGTAGCACTGCTCTATCATAAACTGTCATAAAACACTACTAACTTTCAGTCACCACTGGTATTCTCTTTCTTGTGTGAGAAGTGTCAGTTGCAAAACCATCTTCAATAACCCAGATAACTTGGTCAATTTTGTTTGCTATTTATTTTCAAGCCATTGCTCTCTATTTAGCATGAGTTTGTTTGCATACTTCCATTGCATTGTTTTCATCCATATGAAATAATTCCAAACACAAACTCCAATAGGAGTAAGCACCTGTGACTACCCAGATCTTCAGTTTCAGCAGAGTAATAATGTTTTGCTTAAAAGTCCCTGAATGATTTCATCTAGGTCAAACAGAGTGCACTTTCTCAGTCTAACACTGCTGACGGAAGAATGCATATTGCAGGCTTTCTTCTCTGTCTGTGGTCAGACACGCACACCTATATCTCCTTCTAATATCCTTGACAGTTGAGAGCTGTTACATTACTGTATTTCACACGTACTAATCTGGAGTGTCTATAGTTTAAAAAACAGGTTTAGTTTTACCAAAAATTACTTAAGCTTCTTACCATTTTGCCTCACCACTAAGTTGCAACATTTTCCTCATAAGAGAAAACAACATGGTGGAGTTTCAGCATGTGTTCAGACTCTAGCTTTTGTGATGAAATCGTGAATAAAAGTTATGTAAGGGTGTTTTTTATGACAGACACTCCTGGCTACATTATTACTTCCCAAGTAGCAGTGTAAAAACCACACATACTTTATAGTAAGCAGCTGGAAATATAATTCAGAATGCTTTTAATAAAAGAACTGAGGATAACAATGAATTGTGGATGGCAAGGAATGTGTGATGCTGATAAGAGTCACAGCTCACAAAATTTGGGAGTCCTTGTCAATGTGAAGCATCTTATTTAAAGCATGATCGGGGTCAGACTCCTAGGCTTCGTTATGATTTTTTTACCTTTGAAGAGGAAGCACAGCCTTTTGTTTCTTCTTTGCTTCTTCCTTATATGCTATGGGATTTCAATTGTTCTCAACTCCTCCACCAGTATTTGTGTACTTCTAAGAAGAGCTCAGTAAAGCATTGACCAAGGGTAATTCCAACACGGTACTAATTCTGGAAACAGCTACAACTCAAAATGGTTTTCTCCCTCATTTATAGATTGATCACTCCCTATACTGATGCTCTAGCCTGGACACAGTAGAAATTCCGACTACAGCAGTGATCAGTCTATGCGATTTGGGCTGCTGTGGCTACCAAATCCCTAAACTGTGGCTCCTGTGTCAGAGGTATGTCACACAAGCAACAAAAATGTTTTGCTTGTAATAGAAGGCATATAGAATTTGTTAATCAAATTTTATGCTGTGCTAGAAATGAAGTTGTTTAGGCTGCAATATCGTGTTAAGCAAACATGTATCATACCACTCCATAATCTTCCCCAGCACCAAGGTCAGCCTTGTTTCGTTAGGTGGTAGTTAATCAAGAGACTTCTGATACACAGGGGGAGCTGTCTAGCGTCAGCTGCAAAAGAACAAAGGCTGCCAGGATGGACTCACTGTAAGAGTATCTAAAACCAAAAATAATTGACAAGAACACTAGTGATAAAGGTATTTAACAAAGACCATCTGGTGATGAAAGTCCCTTGTGGAATTCGAGGACAAGATATCTTAAAAAATGTGCTGGGAACAACTAGTTTTTGGATCGAGGTAAAAAGTTCATCGTGAAGAAGACCTATGGCCTTCATTCCTGAAGACCCCTACCCAAGACCACCAGGAGGCACTGCGCAAGCGTCAAGAGGAGGAGCAGCCAACCACCGGAACTGAGTGCCTTTTTTGGATAGCTCATTAATATTATAAGCATTTAATGAATATGTAACTTTCTTTGCATGTAACCAAGGTA